ACTCCCTCAGCAACTAGCACGCTCTTGCACTCTTTCGCACTAGTTTGCTGTCCACTTTACCGTTGTGATCCACATGGCGCTGGCACTTCCGCTGCTGCTGCGCAATACGCATAGCTAAATCATGCAGCCCAGCTCCCACCCCCTCCCCTGCGCACTCGTGGCCCATTAAATCATTCATTACTTCACTCTATTGGGTTGGGATTGGGGTCAAAGCTGTGCGCGCTATGCGCTGCCGCCTCGACAGTGTGTGGGTGCAAGCACTTGCCAAGGGTTGGCTGGGCAATTAGAAAGCCCCGCAGCAGCGGCAAAGATGCAAAGTGTGGCTGCCCCACAATGCAATGGGCGCACAGAACTAATCCAAATTGGGAGCTGGGGTTAAGAGGTGAAGCGTTCATTGAACTTGAGCAGCGCCCAAGATATGTGGGCGAAAAGTGGGCGTACAAATTGGTAAAGGAAAATGGAGAGGGGAAAGTGATTGAAAGGCAGAATAATCGAAAATAAGATATATAAATATATATAGATGCATATGTATGTACCCTGCTAAAGAATTATTTATAGACGAATTTTTGAAGTTTTGTCTCTTTAAACTTTTATAAGAATTGATTTTTATGTCAATTTTATGTAGATTTATTAAAAATATGCCAATTGTTTTATTTTCCAATGTTTTCAAAGTTCTGAAAATATATTTTTAGTTGATTTCGCAAATCCAAATTAATCTATAAAATAATCTCGAATGTTGTATTTGGCTTTTTCAGCATCAAAAATTTTTGCAAATCCGTAGTTTTCGAATTTTAGGCAAGAGCTCTATTTTAAACTGGTATAATTAATCCAAATATGATCTATTTCTGGTAAGGGTGCAACAATTTCAAAATGCTTTGCCCCTTCGATAGATTCTTCACATGAGTTGAATTCAGAATATTCTTTCGAATTTTCCGATTCATTTGTGTAAACACATTTCCCATTGACATTTGGGTCAACTATCAATATATCGTCACGACAGTCTAATACATATCTTCATATTTTGTATAGGAATAGCACATTAGTAAACATAGTTAAAAAAAAAACAATGCAAATTTCGAAGACTGTGGAAACTGGTCATATCGAGAATGGTGAAAATGTAGAAATGGACAACATGCTGTGCGACCTGATCGACATACACAAGGTGAAGGGCAACGAGGAGGCGCTCCGTCGAGTGCTGCAGAGCATCTACAGCCAGCTGAATAGCAACAACGACGTCAAGTTCGGCACCAAGCTCTACGATAAGCTCATCTCGGTGGTGATTGCGGATAGGGCCAGCGTGCAGGTCAATCGGGAGCAGATCGCCAAGGTGCTGGACGCCGTGCAGGCGCACACCAAGCAATTTCCCTGGTCAGGACTATGCCTGTTGCGAAAGCTGTCGTCGATATCGCTGTGCGATTCGACGAATGCGGAGGAGGAGCCGGAGCAGCTGCATCCGCATGCGGGGCAAATTCTAGAGCATATGCTGGATGACTTTGTGCGTGAGCTCGGGCTGGAGTACACCTGTTCGCCGCAGCTGTTTACCGTTATACAAAAGCTTTTGCAGTCGGAGCTCAAAGAGAATCGTAAGTTGGCCTATTCGATAATGCGCAAGTTGCTGCTGAGCATTGGCAGGAGCGAGGACTTCCACAAGGACTGCCCACAGCTGCAGCAGGCACTCAAGTGCGTGGAGCCCCACTGGCCGGCCTATGTCGTCATCATGGAGCAACTGGAGCAGGACGACTCACACCTGGTGCTGCCCATGCTGAGCGGCCATCTGCCGCGCTTTGTGGCCTGCAGCCAGGACAACGACTGGCTCAGCTGGCTGCGAATCCTCTATCTGCGACTGCTCGAGAACCGCAACAAATTCGTCGTGCGCTGGACCCTGGAGTACTTCCTCTTACATTCCACTATCTCGGAGCTGCGTCGAGCCAATCTGCTCAACGAATTCCTGGTTGCCGCCAACAAAACGGATCTGTACGATGCCGAGGACTACTTGCTGCCCGAGCAGAATATCAAGACCTTTGTCCAGAATAGTGGAACGGTGAATTTCCTCGAAGCCCTGGTCCTGGTGCCCTGGCAGAGTCTGCCCCTGCTCCACTGGTTGCGCAGCATGCCTCCACGCCAGCCACATGTGGCAATGGCCTTAATCCTGAAGATCTGCGGCCATGTCAAGTCGATGCAGCACGAGACTTTGCGCTACGAGGCACAGAATCGAATGTTCGACATATTTGAGGTATGTTTTTACCCGGAAACCGAGCTCTCGTTGAGAAATATCCATTACTAATTCACAAACTGAAATGGGTATATTGATTTTGCTTAAGATTCATTTGTCCGGCTGTCCATATGAACGCGAACCTATTCGCCTCTACTGAAGCGAGGCAAATGTTGCACATATACCCATTAGTTCTATTGTATAAGGGATAATAATGGCATCATAATTGCATAATAATGTAAGGAATTATGTTTAGATATTCGCGATATGAACTCTGGGAAAAGCTATTATATTTCCGTTATTATTTATGGTATTAGAGATCTGCAACTGAAAAAGTTTTACAGTTATAACGTAACTTGACTACTTATAAGGATTGGCGAAAAATCATGTGCCTAGGTCTAATGGGAGCGTGATACTGCTTTGTTTATAATTATAATTAATTCTATAATTATAATTATAATTATTCATAATCATTCTTAATCACTATTATTACTATCAAAATATTATTATTTTCGTTATTATTTGATTATTATTATAAATCTTATTCATTATCATAATTTTTATACATATGTCTTAATATAATTTTTATTATTCGTGAAAGCTGAAACCTGTAAAGTAAAAAAATGATTAACTAAGATTACATTTTGAAACATATACTTTCATCACAACTCCTCCATTTTCTTTCAGCCAACAATTGAAAGTTTCTCTTTGGGTGATTATATACAGTTTATGAGGGCCCTTTGCAGCAATAGTGACAATTTTTGCAGGGATCACAAACGATTTACAACGAAAATTGCCACCTGCAATAATATAAGCGAGGAGCTGGTTCACTTTGACAAGAATCTATTCGTGATTATATATCGCACAGGTAAAGCCATGAGAGCAAATCAAACCAATAGACAATAACTCACGTATATACGTCATTATTTTGTTTCAGATGTCAAAATAGGTATCGAGCTGCATAAGAAGCTGAGCCAATTGCCAAAGGATCAGCACGGCTGGTGGCGTCTCTTCTCTTTCTTTTTCAGTCTCAAGCTCGAGTGTGCGAGCGAGAGAATGCAAATACTTGACTTCTATCAGGAGCAGTACGATTTGAATATCGATGAGTTGGAGCGCTTCACCGACCTCAACGAACTGCAGCAGTATTTGGTGCACAAGCTCGAGTGCGGAACGGATGAGGAAATATCCTTTGTGCTGCATCGCGCTGTCGATTGGTTTACGTGCGAGAGACTCATCAGCTGGAACCAACTGGACGAGCTCAAACTAAAGCCGGCGGAGCTCCTTAGCCAAGGCACAATTCTAACGGCTCAGCGTTTAGCGACTTTATTGAATGGCATCGAGGCTCGGTTAGAGGATGAGAGCATAATCAAGTCCCTGATTGCATATCTTAAGCAATTTCCGGATAGTGTCCTGGTGTAAGTATATATAAATATATGAGTGGGATACTTGGTTCTACATTGGGTAATAGTATTTCACAAAGAGAGTGAAGAACTAGTCTGTACATATTTAATTAACATCGGATTTCTTAGTCGTTTCTATGTGGTAGATCCTGCTCTATTGAAAAATTAATATTTAACTGCATACATTTTTTACACATTAATGTCCGATTTTAAATTAATAATATACTTAGTATAGTAAAATCAGATATTGCTCAAGGAAACTAACTATTTAGGAGGTATTCATGCATTTATATAGATTAAATACGTTTTCATACTTAGGTTCATCATAGACTTTAAGAACACTAAAGAGCTCAGGGATCAATTTGTGGGATAAGGAAAATATATAATTCCATCTGTTTTGAGATTTTTATCTGTACATCCAACTCAAACTGTAATTATGATTCACTATATGACATTTATACTAGTTTAAAGGGTATCGCATAGTCGATCACTCTTAACTCTTAACATATTCTAATCATATTTTTATTTTCTTTTTCACATACAGCGCCACAGCCATTGTGAAGTACGCATCCGCGCATTGGTCCGTTGAGGAAAGCGATCAGATCTTAAATGATGTCCTGGAAGCGAGCCAGTTCCTCAATATAAACATTTTGTGCTGCACGAAGAGCGTGCCCACATCGCTGCTGATACGTGGCATACTCTCGGGCAATCCGTTGTCTGGCGATAAATGGTAATGCAAACAGTTTAGTTTATCTGTTCAGTCCCATTTTCATTTTCATTTTCTCCATCCCACAGCATCGAGTACGGATATTTGATCAACCAGTACAATTATTTCTTTACGAGCTGCAGGAAACGGGATAGTTATATTAATTTTGTTATTGAGGGCAAAACGGATACGCACCCACTGCTCGACGAGCTGCTGCGCATCAACAACGAGATGATCGACACGAGACAGAGCTACGTTGAGAACTGCAAGGATCATCGCATCAAGATGCGAATCGCGCGCGCCTTGCTCAGGATAACGTTCAAGGGCCCCAGCTACTGGTCGGACCAGCTGTGGCAGGCTCTGCTCGCTGTCAATGAGCATGACAATATCCGGTACATGTATGAGTGCTTGGTGGCACGCTGTTTGCCCAGCGTCGACCACTTGCTAAAGCGCCTGCAGCAGCTGACTGAGCTCAAGTCCTGCCAACAGTTGTCCCTGATCTCCGTGCTGCACATCTACTGCCTCAGTAAGTACAACGGGATCAAGCTGGAGCAACTGCAGCGCATTATCGACATTCTGCTGCCGCTGACCATGGCCGCCAATCTACAGATTCGACTGTTCGCTCAACTGGTGCTGCACAGGCTGTTGCTGCAGCTGGAGGATAACAAGTAAATGGGTGAAATCTATGCCAGATTCTCGGTTTATTATATATACAGAACTGATTTGGCTGCTATAGGAAGTTAGCTTAGCTCAGAGTTAGGTTGACAAATTGATAATCTTATGCTGAGTCGACTATAGATATACAGGAGCTATGCCATATCACTCTTGGAATGATTCATGCAGGTTTCGAATTACATTATATATATACATAGTTAGTTGTATTGCTCTGCTCTGCTCTGATGTGCGCCAACTGCAAGAAGGAATTTATTTAAAAAGGCTTAAAATACTCAGCATAAGGTTGACATAAGAGATAGCTTACATAGAGTCCCCTACATCTACATCCGAATAATGCATATAGTTTTTCGATTCGTCTTGCTTGAGTTTCTTTCTGGCCAGATAGTCTCAAGGTGAAATTGTGGTTACATAAGAAACTCTACTATATTTAGAAGGCTTATACAACAGAAGTTACATTCCCAGCGTCTGTTCCCATCAGCTGAATCATACTCTGCAACAAATATATAGTAAAGTTATTTTAATTACGTTCAGCTAGGCAGATAGATGGATGTTTATATCGACTCACGATTACAGATCATACATATAGAATACTATATTGTCCTTTTGCAGCATCAAAATTCCTGGCGTCACCAACATGAAACTGGCCATTGAGAACGGTCTGGGTCACAAGCTCTCGGAGTGTCAATACGAGGGACGATTGCTGCTGCCCAAGATCTGTTATCAGACGCCCGATGGACTGCAGGCCGCCGACTTTATACTATATATGACATATGCACCGTGCGACGAATACTTTGCCGATGCGCTGCGACCGAATATGAAGCTGAAATCGGAACTCGGCAAGTATCGCAGCAGTCTGAAGTACAAGTGTCTAACAGCATAGACGAGAGCTGCAATGTTTTAAAAATACTTTTAAGATATGTTGAAGGTTAAGGATCGAACAATGCAAATATACATACTCAAATAGTATCCTCTTTTTACTTTCACAATATAGATATTGCAGCGCTTCAATTGCTAGTTTTTTAAGTGAGCTTTGACGAATCCTGGAAGACTGACTGAATCGAAACTAGGATCTGATGTGTATACAAACATATGAAAATCTTTCAAGGATTTTAAAATAAAATTTATAATAAAGATAACTTTTTGTACTAAAAATTTGTATAATTGTAAATCAAAAAAATCGAATTGTATATTAATTTTAAAAATTTTCAATGGCTTTTTGTTGTTGTTTTAATACGTACATATATATAACTACATAAAATCTTACAAATTGTTTGCTCGTATCTCATTTTCTTTTTTTTAGTTTTCTTTTTAGAAAATTGTTTATACAATGTATATATGGAAATTGTTTTTGCGGGCGCACTCTGTATACAATATTATTATAAACTATTTTTAAATAAGAAATAAAACTTGTAAAAATCGGTTGTACTAATGGCAAGAGCGTTCAATAAACGCCGATGCACTATATTATTGTATATATAATTGGTATTTTGTTGTTGTTAATGTTCTTTTTCCTTTTTTTTTCAGCATTTGCTGCGGGTTTCAATTTTGATTTGTATTCGCACAGCTCGGCTTCCATATGCTTCCTTCATTTTGCGCAGAGACAGAGTATATAAAAAAAAAGTTTAGGTTTAATGAAACAACCAACAGAACGTGGCCATAATATCGGCGCCCATAAACAGGCACTAGAAATCCATGGAAACATTTGAATTGACGCCGCAATTGGGGATTGGCAACACGTCTGCACTCTTGGCTGTCTGCTCCGATGACTCCTGCAGATCTGTGGAAGAAGCCATAGGGAATATTTAAAAGATTCATATAGATTAGCACCAACTCTCACCTGGCGGCAAATGAAGCTTTTCGATGACAAACTTCTTGCGACGCAATTTGAAGGCCAAGTCGGTGGTCTCCGGCATGTGCACGGCCAGCGTATTGATGGCGCTCATCTTGTGCAGATGCAGCAGACCGCTGTACTCCTTGAAAGCCGGATGCGTTTCGCGCTCGGAGCCGGCAAACGATTCCAGCTCAATGGCATAGTCGACCAATTGACGAATCTTGGGCACCAAGCTGCTGTCCTGTAAATAAACCAATCAACATGTATAAGTATATTATAGATTAGCAGAGTTTACAACTCCAAACTCACATATTTGGCTATCAGGTGCATGGGCATTGTGATGAAGCAAACAGCAGTGCAGCTGCGCACGCTGCCACGCAATATAGTTAGAAACTTGAGCAAATCTTCGGCAAAGTGATCGTCGTACCACAGAGGAGAGCCCAGCGAGGTTAGGCAGACCCTGCATAGATTCTTCTCCTGCATGTTGGCGCCCGGCTCAAAGATCGAGTCGTTGAGCAGCAGTTGGATATAATTGAGCAGGCGATCGTAGCGTGCATTGTAGAAGAATTGTGGCTTGCCAGTTGGGGGCGATGCAGTTGGCGTGGTTGTGGTGGTTGTTCCAGTGGTGCTTGTGGTATTGTTGGCAGTGCTGTTATCCATATTGTTATTATTGTTGTTGTTGATGTTGGGGGCAGTTTTTTGGCCATCAGACTGCTCCATGGGTGTCGCTTCATCAGTTTCAGCAGCAGCTGCTGCTGCTTGAGTGGGAGCAGCATCAGGTGGTGGAGACTGTTCCCCTTCTTGGTCCGGGTCCGCCTTAGATCCCACAACCTGAGCATACGAGTAAAGCATTGACTCGCTGGGATCCGGCAACGATTCGCCGCCACCAGCACGTGGCTGTTCCGAATCGTTAGCAACATCGAAATCTTCATAGTCCTCTTGGTTCGTTTTCTTATCATTCCAAATGGTGGCATGCGCATAGGAGAGCATCATGGCATCCATGTGCTCCATCAAATTGAAATGATGTCCAATTTTCGCAGTGGCCTGCTCCGAATTGACCAGCGGTAAATCGTTGTAGCGAAACGCAATGCGAAGACCATTTTTATCCGCCTGTTGCTCCTGCTCAAGGCGCTGCTCTTGCTCGACCTCCTCGTCGGTGAGAGGCTTGGGCAGGCGACGCAACATCTCTTCTGGCAAATCGTCCAAGCTGCCAAGGAAGAGCTCCTGCTTGGACAGCAGACCCTCAGCCAGGAAGTACTTGGCCAGAACCTTGGCATGCGTCATGAACCGATCCTCCTCTAAAGAACACAAAGAGTTAAACGGTTAACAATTAATGGACGACTTCTCATTGCTGTATTGCGATGCTTACCAATCAGGCATATCGAGCCGATGGGCAGACCACCGCCTAAAATCAGATCAAGCGATGGATTACCGCTGGAGGTGATCACCTGGCCAGTGTGGGGGCTAGTGCGCGTGCCACGGATTGGTTTTTGCACGGTCCGTTTGCGAAAACTCGTCATGTCTCAACAATTTTCCACTATTGCGTTACGTTTTTATCAGTTCTCTCTTTTTTTTTTGTTTGCCGGGAAAAAGAAGACAGAATGTAAATGTGTGCAAGGGATAATAAGTTAAAAATGGGCGAAAACTATATTTTAGTATTTATACTGCGTATTAAGTATTTTTACATGGTTTACTTTAAAATCATTACAAAAATCGAAAATAAATATAAATAGACATGCATATAATAAAAAATAAAGATATTGAAAATTACATATGTATTGATGGCCAAAATGATTTATTTGCTGTAAAATCACTGTTAAATACGATATTTTGTAGTGTCAATTGCAAGTAGTTTAATGTTGGCGGGCTAGCGAAGGAAGGTTCGCATATGGAAATGTACTAAATATTGACATAAACGGTATTCCGGAATTCGCGATGTGCACTGGTAATCTTAATTCGACTTTTATATTTTTAGTTTAATAATACATAGTAAATAATTATTTTAGTTAAAGCGCGTGTGTAAGTCAAGATGTACTTAAAATAGCTATATTATTTTCGTAGTATAGGTTAATACTAGACGAAAACTTCAGCTTGCTGTCTGATCGACTAACCTCCACACAGTGTGACCAAATTTCTACTACATTTTTCTCATTCTTCGCCAATATGCGATGTTTTGTACAATTGCTCCCAAACTGTTTTTCTTAGCCATGAACAGCGACTCCTAAACGGTTAGGTTTTCAATTCTCGTAAATACAATATCCTGTTCTTTGATTAACTATCTTATAGTAACAAGGGTTAGGTGCCTAGACGAATGTCCTGACCGCACAGGCATTAATTTAGCAAATCAAACATCCTGCGCATTATCCTTAAGCATCTGTGGCAGCTGTCACGCCCACCAACGTTTTTTAACGAAAGGATAATGATGCCCAATTTGCGCAAAAAGGATGCAGCGGCTGTGTTTTTAATTACAGGATAGGCCAGCCGTTTGCCTATAAGTAACTAACAAGGATATTGATAAAAAGGCTAAGGGAAAGTCAACAGGACCTCAGGAAAGGGTTTAGGTAACTGCTCCAAGGGCTTGTACGAGGAAACTAAATCCCAGTGGACTCTTTCTAGGAAGGACACAACACACGCAAAAAATAAAAGTCAAAATCAAAGTAAAAAGAGAAAAAAGACACAGGACATACAGTTAGGCAGTCGAATGGCGAGCGAATGGCGTCAACCTTCTGCGTGGGAAAGGTAAACAGCCAAAGGACAATAAATTACGGCTGTGCACGGCACACACAACGAGCACAATGCAGGACAATCATTATTGATTGCAAGCCCATACGACAGGAGAGAAAGAGAGAGAGGGGGATATACTGGCGAGTCCTGCTGAATTGCAAATGTGTGTGTGTGTGTGTTGGCAAAAGGATTGCGCATCCTTGTATAATTTATGGTCAGGCTGACCAGCAGCTGGCCCGCAGCCAAGTCAAGCCGAGCCAAGCCAACCACCCGCCGCTGCTTGCTGTGAAAAAGGACCTCACCGATCTCGAATCCTTTGACTCGTTTTAATTACGAATTTATGTGGCATGGTAAAATGCCTTTCGACATGGCCAATGCCCAATGGCCAACGACGGCCGACGGTCGACAATCGACGGCCAACGGCGCAGGCGCAGCAAATTCATATTTGGACTGGCCATAATCATGCGGCAGGACGAAAGGATATGTGAATGCATATTCACATACATATGTAGAGTGAAAGTGTGTGCGGCATAAAAAGAAAACATATGGCCACGACTCCAAATCTAAATATAAACGACGCGTGTCTAAAGAAAGAGCAGCAAGTGTTGAACGAGTGCCTCTCAAACTGTTGCAGCTGTGACTCTTCAACTGCAGCAGTGCTTTGCTATTGATGGACTCATTGATCGAGGCTCAAGCCAAGCTTATGTGAGACTGAGTCGATGGGAGTTTCTAGTGAAGATATAATAATAGACAATTGTTTAGTTAGCGTAATTTATAAACATTTAATTGATTGATTTACTGGTGATCGTGGCATATATTGAGCTCTTAAGAGACGGAGTTGCAGACAATTTAGAATATTACAAATAATTAAAAATATTTTAGAAATAGTGCATAGTGATTGGATAGCTGATGGTCTGAAGGAATGACTGTGTTAAAACAGAAAAGAAGAAACCGATAGAAATAAAGAGCGAATTTTCCAGAATAATTCATTTCTAAATACAAGATAAAGAAGAATTTTCTTACTAAATTCTAAAGAAAATTGAAAATGATTTAAATACATATACTGAAATTATTTTAATTAAAATTTTCTTGAAAAAGATTTTCAAAGATTCTTACCACTATTTACTGATTGATTATTGTGAGAATATGGAAGTCAAACTTTTGAAATCAAGATTATATACAGTGTACAACATTAATATTAGATTTATTTATTTATTTATTTTTTTTTTAGTATTTCTCAACTTTAAACACAAATAAAACAGCTGATATTAATTGAAATTAAAAAAGTTTAAATGGTAAAAAGTTTAATAGATTGAAAAATTACCTATTCAAGGAGGTATATATCAAAGTACTTGATATTCAACATAACTAACAAAAATTATGCATAAACAATATATTTTTTTTTTCAAAAGTATTATTATCAATTATTAATATTAAATATGCAATATAACACTCAGAGCTGTATAACTTTCCTCGACCCATTTGCACT